ATATATATATATATACACACATACATACATACATACATACATATAAATAAAAAAAAAACAGGTGATGGTCAAAACATAAAAAAAAAGTTTTATGAGTTGTAGCAATCTAGGGACTGTAAAACAAGAGGCTAGGTACTAAAAACAGTCTTCCTTAAAGTGATCCAGGAATCAGGCCTCTAGACGCAAAACAAGTAAATGGTTGCTAGTGTAATATACACACATACATACATACATACATACATATAAATAAAAAAAAAACAGGTGATGGTCAAAACATAAAAAAAAAGTTTTATGAGTTGTAGCAATCTAGGGACTGTAAAACAAGAGGCTAGGTACTAAAAACAGTCTTCCTTAAAGTGATCCAGGAATCAGGCCTCTAGACGCAAAACAAGTAAATGGTTGCTAGTGTATTATTTAGCCCTGAACTCAACAACTGTAACAAACTAATACTAATACAAATACTCCCATTGTGTAACAGTCAACCTTTGGATAGAAGACACTATTACAACTGTAGCAACTTTGACAATTTAAAAAGCAAACAAGTAGCAGGTAAAAGGGAAAAGGAAGACATTAAGAATAGAAAAATAAAAAGAAGGCTAGAAGTGCTTATAAGTTCATTTTATGTAAAGGGGTACCAAGATACTGACTACTGTAGATACTTATTATAAACACGTTAAATATGTAAAAACAATTACTAGTTTGCAAGAGAAGAAAAAGAGACGGCAAAAGATAAAGTGTGTCGATGGACTAAATCCTTATTTTTTCCAATTTCAGTATATGCTGCCAAAGCAAACACAAACCATAATTTTCATGAGTAAATCAACTGATATTAAATCCAATGAACAGAAAATATTCTATTCATCAAAGTTACATCTTGAATGTAAACTTCACTGCTAACCATTTAGAAGACATCATGCTAAATCTGGGCTGGCCCCTTCTTTATTCTGCTTCTGGACATTGGTTAAATATGCTTATATGCACAAAGTATGAAAGGGGTGTGTGTGTGTGCGTGTGTGTGTGTGTGTGCGCGTGTGTGTGCATGCGCGCACATGTGTGCACATGTGTGTTTTAAATGCACGGCTTTTGCTCCCCCCATCCCACCCCCGAATCTTGTCTGGGAGGGGAATGGAAGAGAAGGGAGATGAGAGGAAGGGCAGGGAAGTGGAACAAGAGAGAGAGAGGGATGGCAGAAAGAGAGAGAAGGAAGGGAAAGAGAAAGGGAAGGAGGGAGGCGAAAGGAATAGAGAAGAAATAGTCATGGAAGGGAGTATCCTGGTGAACTCAAGACTAACACTACAATGTAGTCTTTCCCTTCATGTTTGTAAAAGGTTACTGGTACCCATCTACCAATATACAGGAACATAGCATTCCTTCTCATTGTAAAAATCCTAAGGCTAATTAATCTATTCCACTGATGCTCGGGTCTGTTTCTTTGCTAGTACCATGCTGTTTTTATCACAGTGGCTTTGTAGTATAGTTTCAAGTTGGGGATTGTAATACCCCATATCATGTCTCTGTTGCCTAGAATTGCTTTTGCTATTTTAGGTCTCTTCTGATTCCAAATGAATTTTTGGATTGTTTTCCCTAGTTCTGTGAAATATACTGCTGGGATTTCAATCAGGACCTAAGGCAAATTAAAATGGAAGTAAAAATTACACCTGATTTGTAGAACACATGAAGGAGTGGGCAGAAAAAGAGACACTAAAAGTATTTGAAAACTGTTATAAAGATCTTAGGGTAATTACATGGGAAAAGATCAAAATAAATAACCAAATACATACTGATAGACCTCACAAATCTAAGAGATAGTTACAAAGAAGAGAACAGAGGGAATTTACTATATTGCTACCATCAGGAAAATCTTCTGAACAACTGCAGCTACTCAACAACTAAACAGACTATCTCTAATGAAAATCTGATCCCTCAACACTCTTGTTTAAATAGAGAACAGAAATCATCTGTCTCTAATGTTTACAAATGGTGGAAGATTTGACTAGATGATCCCTCATGTGCTAACTGCAATTGTGAAAGTTCTAAACTAAAAAGTTTTAACTTACCAACATCCATTGCAGTTTCCATAAAGCTTTTCTGTCGTGAAGCAAATTCTGCAAGCAACTTCTGCTGTCTCTCTCTAGCCTTTTGTCGCCTAGATTAAACAGAAATAAAGTGATAAGTACCAAATGTGTTTAAAACTATTCTACTGTCTTTTAGGAATATATAAGAAAAGCCCCTGTCATAGAGTGGAGAACAATCTATTTTCTAGATTATTATTAAATTTCATGTAAGATTTGATTTTTTAAAATAATTGTACTGCTTTAAATAGGCTTCAATCTTACAGACTAAGTAAAAATAAAAGCTAAGATTTAATTCAAAATGTAAAATCATAAAGTAGATAGAAAATTTGGGTTTTCAACAACAGAAGTTCCTGAGTATATGCCAGATGGGAACAAAAGCAAGAACAGTCTTTTTCAGCAAGGGGCTAACAATTTAAGCCCAAGCACAAATGACAGTAAATTGGTTGCTATAAAAAGCCATGATGTTGGGCTGGGGATGGCATGGTGCCTGCCTGGCAAATGCAAGGTCCTGAGTTTAATCCCCAGTACAAGGGGAAAAAAACAGCCATGAATTTTTTTTTTTTTTTTGGTGTCTTTGTTTTTTGTTTTCTTGGTACTGAGGATTGAACTTGGGACCTTGTGCTTGCAAAGCAGGCAAGATCCCAAGCCCTATGATGCTTAGATATAAACAAAATCTTTTAAGATTAATTACATTTATTATTACCCTAAGAATAGATCTCTTCAAATAGAGAATGAGAAGCCTATACATTTCCCAGTTTCTAATAAGAGATATTCTTACAATCTCAGTAAGTATTTTATTTGGAAATAAAAGAATGTGAAAGGGTTTCAAACACAACAAAGAAAAAAAAATATATTCCAAATCTACCTATAAATATTCCTTTGGATTAATTCACTATGTTTTTATTATGTATCCTTTATCTATCTCTTACCTAGTTCCTAAGAATATTTTATTTTGAGATTGGTTACAAATAAATCTACTGATACCAATTCAATAGGATCACAACATTAAAAAAAAGTAAACTAATAAAGTCTTTCTCAGATCATGAGATACTAACAATACTAATGAGCATAAAATTTACTCCTAGTAATAGTTTAAAATAGTAATTCTATAAAGAGGGAAAGGAGAAGACAAGAAAAGAAAAAGGTTTAAAAGGCAAGTTATAAGTTAACTATCAGGAGTTGAACAAGAAGTTTTTAAGAATATTTTTGCCAAATATTTTCAACATATCTTTAATATTCTAACATTTCTTCTACAGATAATTTAGAACCCAGATAAGAAAAACCTGCCTCATTATTTTATAACTATAATTCTTTTACATTTTTTTTGAGCCCAAATATTATTCAGGGTAATCACTCACCTTATTCATCAAAGTTAATTCTGAATGACATTGATCATTTCAGAAAAATAAATCTATCCTTCCTCTTTCTTGCCTTCCTAAACATAAAAAGTGGCTACCACTGCCTGGTACAGTGTGTCAGTACCTAACACCCTGGCATAAGAAGGCACTCGTGGGAAAAGATTGCAAGATATTGTCTATATACTTGGGAAATGATCAAAATGTTTCATATTACAGAAGGGATGAAGATCATGATTTATAAATATGGAAAGAAGGAAAACAAAAATGATTCCTATGGTACCATATTAGAATTATAAGTACCAGGATAAACTAAGAATTTTCAAAATGTATAGACATGAAAATGAATTTCTCCTTTTCCTGCCCACAATGCAAAGAGGCATACAGAGACATACACTCACTTGGCCCCAGCTCTAAGAGGACCTGGAAATGGCTATTCCCCATTAGAAAAAGCACATGGACTGTGGTCTCTAAATACTGTTTTCTACTAAAAGTCACCAGGACTCCTTAGAGAAATGGCTAACTTCAAGTATAAGATGAGCCTGGAAGATCTAATTGTCCTAGAAAATAAGAACATGCTCAAAGAATTATGGGGATAGAGCAAAAGGACATAAAAACCATCTTGAAGGAACTCCTAGTGTAACCTAGGAAACTTAGAATATTTTGAGCATCAAAATGAATAATGAGCACATTGATTATAACCCATAAAATAGGAACTCATGAACTCATACTAATAAAAATAAATGAATAGCATACTGAAAGTATGTAAGAAATGGAACATTATTATATTTCAAAGCATCACTCCACAAATTATGTATTAATCACAAAGAAGGAAAAAAGTAACCTTAAAAGTGTGGAAGACACCCCCCTGATCAAGTGATCAAATTTAGCTATCAATAATGAAACAAACTGAAATTACGTGGTACCTGATCAGATAGAAGGAAAAGAAACACTACTCCATTGACATTCCTGCCAAAGATACATAACTGGAAGCTAAAGAGACATATTCTAATTGAAGGACATTCTGTAATGCTGCTACTATACTGTGATAATCATCAGCAGTGCCAAAATAAAAACTGAAGAAACAGTTTATCGCAGGAGACAAAAAGACAAGAGGCAATGGTTGATTATGACAAGATTAAACAAGCATTTAAACTTGAGATCTAAGGATTGAATTATACTCAAATACAATGTTAATTCCATTTTTTTTTTTTTTAGATGGGGTCTTACTACATTGCCAAGGCTTGTCTCAACTTTTAAGCTCAAGTGACTTTCCTGCCTCCTGGTAACTTTGACTACAATCACATGCTACCACACCTGCCTTAATTTTCTAATTGTGATAGAAGTAATGAGGTTATGTTGGAAAAGGTCTTTATTTCTAAGAAATACATACTAAAATATTCCAAAGTGAAGAAGCATACCAGCAACTTACTCTGAAATATTTCAGGAAGTTCCCTATAGTGTCCTTAAAATATTTTTATTAGTTTAAGACTGCTTTGAAATAAAAACTTTATGGAAATTAAGTTCAGTCCCAAATACCTTCAAATATTTACTACAGAGGAAGATATGAAAGCAAACAAAAAGTGCCACAGATGTTCAAAGAATTCTAACAGGCCTCCAAAAATGCTATGAGGAACAACAGCATTTGGATAGACTATGTTTAGTCTCCTATAACAGTACTTTGTCAATTTATAAGACTGCTTTTAACATATGCTTCTTTAATTAATGCCATTCTACAGTTCAGTTTTAAACATGTATATTAACATTTAGAATAAACATGTCCATAGAGAGTATTTCACACCTAAGCATAAAAAAATCAGAAAATTTCAAGTGTAACTGCTTGACATTAGAATTAAGATGCATTCTTGGTATCAGTTTTCTATGTAACCAGAACTGGAATGTTGTTGGGAATTTTTTTCTTAATCTAGGCTGTTCCTTTATTAAAATTTAGCATAAGTATAAAGACCATTAACACAAGATGTAAACAAGTCTTAGTAGATTCAGTACATTTCAGAAATTTCCTACTATTACCCTGGAGATGAAGTCACTGAAGCTGCATATTACTATAACCATCAAAAGTTTCCAGTTTATAACTTGTTTTCTATGGAGTCAATTTACCATGAAAGAGATACCAAGTTTGTCCATAGGTGGAGTACATGGAAATGGATCATCATTAAGTGTTTGTGAACTGTTCTGCTTTATTTTGTGTGTGTGTTCTGCCTTTATTATGCAATATAATCTAACAGAGAATACACAAGTGAAAATCGCATCTTAATTCTTACCTGTCTACTACAGAATTAGTTTCAAGTGCTTGTCAATATCATAACTCTCAAAAGAAACAAAACTTACCACAGGGGATATCTAAAATTTTTATTTATTATTAGTATTATTTATTACAAGAGTATTCAGTCCTTTATTTTTGCAAATGTAAACTATGTTCTCCAGTATACATCTGTTATTACAAAATAGCCTTAACAAATAAACTTTGATTCACCTAATCTCTATCTTCCATGTTTAAAAAAAAAAAGACACTATAAGCAGAAAGAAACACCACTAATTTAGAAAACGTTAAAAAAATTAAAATCTTATCTTGTTTTCAATCTTCTACTTTTATTAGTTTTTTTTTTTTTTCCTTGGTACTGGGGATCAAACTTGGGTCCTTGTACTTGCAAGGCAGGCGGCAGAACTGCTGAGCTCAATCCCTGGCCCTACATTATTAATTCTAGGAAGTTACTAAATTAAAAGTAATAAGCTACCATCTAAATTATGTTTTTTTTATAACCCCTATTTGTAAAGTACAGTATTATAAGAAAGGAATAAAAATGGTCCTAAATCCTTAATCTACATAAGCTTTTATGTCCACCTTTAATATAAATTTTCTGTAACAAACTTTTTATTACACCAGCGATGAAGTACTGTCACAACTAGATACGTAACTTAAATTACTCTTGATTGTTACCAAAGATGACCTCCTAACCAGCAAATCAAATAAGACTGCCAATCTTATCTGAATTCTTAGAACACTGAACAATCTTAGTAATGTCTTCTGTCTGAACTGTCTCCCTCTTGTGCCCTAATGCCACTCATTCCAGTTTCCCTTCTACTCTACTCCAGTCACTCCTTTTAGTCTACTTTGTAAGTTCGCCTTCCGAAGCCATTCCCTTTAGTGTTTTTCCGCAAGTTCTACAGCAAATCCTTTTATCTACTTACTATTCACACCCTCCTATATGCAAGGCTTCCACTATCACCCCTGTGAAAATATTCCACAGCTCAAAGAATTCTCCCCTAAAACACAAACCCTCCAACTAGATATCTTCACTTGGATGTCCTTGAAATTCATTAATAGCCAGAACTGAACCTATCAATTTTATTGCTAAACCTTAGTCCCTTCCTCAAATTCCTTATTTTGGTGAACAGGAAGTGCATCCAAATAGAACTGCAAGAGCCAAGCTCAGTGGTGCACACATGTAATCCCAGCATTCAAGATGCTGAGGCAGGAGGAGCCAGCAGTTCAGCCAGCCTGAACTACATAACAGAGACCCTGTCTCCAAACAAACAAAAGGGCCAACTACAACACAGGAACAATTTGTTACTTCTCCCTTAGTTCCCATATCACATTGATCATCTAAAGTGTAAATATCTCTTATACATCTATCTCCTCCTTTCTTATCAACTTAGTTCCCTCACCACACTTACCCACCTAAATTTTTAAACTGCCTAGACTCCCAGGTGCCAGTCTTATCTCCAGGTGCCTCTCTAATCCATCTGCATGTGATTTCACTGCATATTAATCCCCTTCTTAAAATCCTTCCAATCCTTCCTTGTAACCATTTACATTAAGTGCCAGTTATATCCTACTGACAAAGTATGCCCTATGTACTACTTCCAGTAACACTCTGTGCACCAAACATAGTATTTATTACACTACCAACCATCTGTTTACTAGTCTATCTCCTCAAGATAGTATCAATTCCTCTAGGTCAGGGAGTCCAGCACTAGACACAGCTTTATAATGTACATCCAGAAAAGAACCTGTTTCATGCTCAATAAAGGAAGGGAAGGTCATTAGCATAAAATCAATGTTAGGTCTCCCCTGCCCAGTCAACCCATAACTGCCTATATTTAATTTTAAAAGTAACTACAAAGATGAAATTACTACAGAAAACAATTCTACAGTACACTTCAGACTATCAAATGATGTCTTTTTCATACTGCTCACAACAGTACAGACAACAATCTGTTAACAATGATTTCTACCAGCAAAAACAGGGGCCTTAGATAAAAGAAGTCCAAGGTTCTCAAAATAATACTGAGATGATCCTTTTCAACACTCTATAAGGGAAAGTATGCACCCTTAACCAAATAACTGTTGCTTGCATAGACAAATTTAAGAGAAATTAAATCAAAAGAATGTTATAAATAATAACCTCAGAGATGGGAGCAATGACAATCTTGAATTCCATCTGAAAAAACATTTTTAATGTCCTGTCTTTTAGCTTTATATGATTTCATTAGAAAGTCTCCCTCTCTTCTCCCTCTCCCTTGTGGGACTGCATAACTTTGTAATCTTAAATCCTAGCCTCAACTGGGATTAACGTAAATTAACAGGTGAACATTTAGTAGTTCTGGGTAAACAGATAAAGATTGTTTCACTCCTTGTCTGTCCAGAAGGAATGTTTTGAAAACTTTGACATTCTGTAAGCATCTTGAGTATGGACCCCCACCCTGCCTATCCACTTATAAAAAGGACCTCCGCCCCTGAGCTGGCGCCTGTCTGAGCTGCTTGGCTCCGGAGTGCCGTCTGGCCAGACTAGTGAAGGTCTGTTCCCTTTCCAACGTGTCCGGTGTGTTCCTTCCTGGGTGAATCTCATGGCTGTCGAGCTCTTCGGAGCGGTAAAGTGGAGCTCTTCGGAGTGGCAGAACCAAGCTCCTCGGAGTAAGGCCCCTGGTCTTACATTTTGAAAGCCCTCAGTGGCTGTTGAGCTCCTTGGAGTGGTAGTAAGGCCTTAGGTCTTACACCCTCTCTCTCCCTCCCCACCCCCTCACACGCACAACCTTCCCACTCAGGATTCATGTTGTGAGGTTTAAAACAGCAGGGTAGGCAATGAAGACAACTCCAGCAGCAATACAACTCTAACATAAACTTTAGCAAATAACATGTGCTAGTATCCATATCATATTCCTATCCTGTAACCCACAAATCCCACTTGTAAAAACAACATCCCAAGAAAGAAAATCAAAGTGGGGGGGGTCATAAATATTATGATTTAATGACAACCTAAAAGTCCAAAAGCTAGAGGTATAAGAACATCTTTTTAAATAATTAACAATTATATATTGGTAAAGATTAAAGGACCAAAAGGAACTAAAATAATTGTATTTGTTTTGAGAAATATTTGAAATACTTTTCTATTCTCATGTAAAATTGAATAGATGGTTTTTGAAAATAGCAAGAGAAATATTAGATCCCTGTAGCAATAACAATAGTAGCAATTTTTCCAAAGAAGCCTACAAATTTAGAGTAGTAATTTAGTTTTAGGATCAGAAACTCATCATCTTATCCCTGTGGAGAGCTCAGTATACTACATCTATAAGTGTTGACCACATTCAGTTCCACTTTTCTTACAAACTAATCAGCTATGACTATAGCCAAAAAGCAGAAAATTAAGTCAACCTTCAACTGTAGCATACATATTTAAAACATTAAAAATAAAATTACCTTTCCTCTTTATCCAGAGTTTTCTTCTCTGCTGCAGTGACTTTTTTGGGTGGTACAGGAGGGGTCACTTTTCTACATATCTCTTCAATGATGCGTTTGTTCATTCTGCTTTGCAATGCGGCTTTTAGTAAAATTCTTTCTACTGCAGTTATACCATCTCCATGACTATATTTAGGAATTTCTGGTTGAATTAAAACTTCGATGTCATCAAGCCAGGGAGGATAGTAGGAGTTTTGTTTGCCTGAGAGTTTGTGGTGAAGTTTAATAAGCAAAGATAATATACTTTCTTTAATTTCCAAAATGGCTGTTGTTAACTGGGGAGCTGAACCAGGAGCAGACCATTTATTTGAAGTTTTGGGACGAACCACCTGATTTGCTTCACTGGTACTGCGATTGATGATCTCCTGAAATTTCTTTCTACGCTCTGCCACTAAGCTGAAAACTTGAGCTGTGCCAGAATTCTACCAGTAAGAATGAGAAAGAAATCAGTAGAAGTTATTCAACATGAATTCTAAAAATATATTACTACATTTCTAAATGGAATGCTCAAAGTGTCATCCAAAGATTTATTCAATAGTTTCGCTCTTAAAATCTATCCCTTCACATCTTTCTCAAATAGACTTAGTTCCATTCAATCTGGAAATAGCAATCAGAAAAAAGATTATCAGCTATAACTTCTCTTTCTAAACCTCCTGAGTGTATCTAATAAAACTTAACCAACACCTATAGCCACCTGAAGAGAAATCATAAACTACTTTTCTCCCAACTTAAAGGAAGAAAAGCTGTTCTAGTCACCATTCAGGAGGAAAAGTAAATACACTCTTCACTGATTTTGGAGAGATTGCTATAGTTCCCAGTCAAGAAAATTTAAAAATTTTCTAAGTTAATGAATCTGAACTGGTAATTAATTTCACTTTTAAAGAACTTCAAAAGTTTGAGAATTACTTCTCACAAATGCTTAAAGTTATCACACTGAAATATAAGGATGAAAGGTCAAACTGATTTGTTTTACTTTTGAGTATCACTGTGATTTGGTACTTGAATAGATTTTTTTTAATAAGTGTTTTCCTCAATAATTTACCTTCTAAATAGTCTTTTTTGCTAAAGCAGTCAAACTGCACTAGGACTCCCAGAAATCATCTTTTAATTAAGATATGAATCAGTTTAATGGATTTCATTAGTTTTTAAAGTGAACATAGAAAGGCTATTCTAAATTGGAGTAAACATTATTTCTTTTCACATCCAAGCTCTTTTTAAAGTAATCTCTATCTTTAAGACAGGCAAAAGCTGCTTCTTACAGAGGTTCCAATATTTAAATTAAAAGCCCTTATGATGTTAACAGCAAAAACACGTTAAAAACAAAGTTTTTATAAATAGACTCTACTATGAAAAATATGATTCAATACTCACAAAAAAATCTAGTTTGCAGGAATTAAGATAGCTTAAGTTTAGTGAGTTCGCATAACATTTCAAATTTTTCATTTCTGCTTTAATTAAAATTAATTAAGCTACATGCAATGAGAATTGTTTTTCAAAATGAGTCCAAATACACAATATGTAGAGTTTAAGATTTTATGGGCTTATCTTATTCAAAGTAAATTAATTTCCATAGAAGCAAAACAAATATTTTTAAAGGGTCATGCTGCTAGCAATTAAATTTATTTTTATTTAACAAACAGTGGAGTCATTTTTAAGATGTTAGTAATTGCTGCAAAGCTACATGTAAATAGATCCAAATGCGCTGCTATAACTGGTCCAAAATACTTCTAACACTAGTAAGAAAAATACATTAACTACTCAGTGCTATTTTTGAAAGCAATAATAATGCAAATTTTCTTTAAAATGAAGACAAAATAGCTTTATTTTTTAAAAACACATAAATTAAAGAAACTTTTCAGGGGCTAGGGTGCTGAAGATAGAACCCAGGGCCTCATGTGTGCTGGGCAAGTACTATACCACTTAGCCCATGAAATTTTTATTAATTTGGCTATATTGATCAAACACACACACACAAACACACACAAACACACACACACACAAATACTTGAACATTTTTTTTCCTTTCCCATTTCCAGTTAAAGCCATGTTGCTAGTTAATGCAAACATCATACACATCTACCTCTCTCTGAAGAACTTTAGGCGGTCTTGAACTCTGTCAGGTTAAAGGAAAAAGACTAGTGAGGCAGAAGTTGCTTAAATATATCAGAGGAAACACAGGACAATTTAAAGTTATCTATAACCAGACTTTTTTCCTTTGACTATGACATGGTTATTCAAACAATATCTCCAATATTTAAATATAAAGTGTTTCAGGACAGGGATTTTTCTCAGTGGCACCTTGCCTGCCTCCCAAGCGCAAGGTCCTGAGTTCCATCTCCGGTACCAAAAAAATAAATTAAGTCAGTCAGTAAGTAAGCAAGTGTGTGTTTCCTTTTTTACTTTCATACTTACTTGTAATGAACCCAAGCTATCAGAGCTTGTACTTGCAGGTGGGTCTCTCTTCACTTCGGGAGCTGTCTCTGGAACTCTCACTCTAACATAGTTTATAAAGTGTCGCATGTTTGATACTAAGTTACTCCCAGGAAACCAACTGTCGTGACATCGTTCTGGTCCACCCACTGATACCTTAAACAAAAATAACCATTATGAAAGCTTATCAAAATTGACTGCCTGTCATACTCCTAAATTCCTTTATACTCTCATCCAAAAGTTATAAAGTAGATAAATAAAACCATATTGAATAATAAATACAATAAATTTCTCAATAGTAATATGGCTAAGTCCAGTCAAAAATTATCAAACAACTAAAACACACATTTTCAATCTGGAAATACTTAACACTATAGAATACTCTATTCCTTCACTATTGCCCAGTGGGGATTAAACTCAGGGCCTTCACAGTGAGCTGTATCTCCAGCCCTTTTTATTTTTTGAGACTGAGTCTCACTAACTCACCAATCTGCCCAGGTTGGGCTCAAACTTGTAATAATCCTGCCTCTGAATATTTTCATCACCCATTAGTAATAACACATAATATATTAAAATAATGCTAGTTTGGACTAAGTATGGAAGAAAGTCTCAAAAATCAACCAAAGGTATGCGAAAGAGGAAGGAAAGTGCTAAAGGAGTAGGGGTAATGGAGAGATTAGGGAAAAGGAAAGAAGGGAAAAGAAAAAATATGAGAAAAGGAAAAAAATGGAAACAAAGTCTTTGTAAATAGGTGGAGAGGGTGAAGGGAGGGCAGGGGACTGCGGAAAAAATAAGAACCAAGATGCATCATGCAAAGATACAAGATCCCAATGATGAATGTAACTGTATTGTATATCTAAAATGTACCAATAAACTTAATAAAATAATAATAAAAAAGAGGGATAAAAAAATTTTTTTAAATCAACCAAAGGTATGACCTAAAGGAATCTTAACTGCCTTTTAATACATTCATGACAGGGCTGAAATTCATATGTCTTGCCACCAGGCAGCTTAGACTACCATACATGTATGACTTGAATCACCAGTACATACACAACTGTCCCACTGAGTAGCTTGTAACACGGTGGTTACAAATGGATCTAATCACTTTGATCAGTCTTTTTACTAATAAAATTAAAGTCTCCCAGTGGGAGTCATTCATGTACCACTGGTGGTTCAAGCCAATAAGAAAATGTTAATATCTGAAAAAAAAATACATGTTGATGCAACATAGAATATAGAGCAGTACCTAGGGTTTTTTGTTTTTACTTTAGCTGTTATTATGCTGTGTTGTATTTGTCTTTCTGGGTAGGAGATTAAAAGAATCTTACATTAGTAAAATTAATTTGTGGTAGCAATTGCTTTTTTGGAAGTAATTCTTCTGAAGTCCTGAAACACATTAACAAGTTGTATTCTTAACTTTAAAACTTGTCTCATTTATTTATTCCATTATCTTAAAATCTTGAAAGAATGTCCTACTCGAAAATTATCTCTAATCAAATTATTAGAATTAATCATTTTTACCATAATAACAAAATGAATCGACTATTTATCTTAGGTTAATTTTTGTTAATGTGAACATTAAATCTCAAATTTAAAGCTTCCATAAGTAAAATAATTTCATAAGTATTAATGTAAACTCTAAAAGATCTATACATATGTGGAGACCAACAGGGCCTTTTCTAGCATCAGTAGTTCTTTAGAAGATCCTACATGAGTATGAAGAATTCCTAAGTATACTTTACTTCTATATTGGTCAATGAACAATTGCCTACAGCCAGAGGGATGGTCTCCTATCTAAAAGTTTTAACATATAAAAAACAACTTACCTCTTCATCTGATTCATCTTCAGCAGAATTTTCAAGTCCTAATTCAATCAGATACAAGACCATGCAGAGTACATGTTCTGACAGATTTTGATGATCCATCATAATCTTTAAAAAGGGAAAAAAATGACTTAATTCTTTTACCCACATAAAAAAAGATACAAAAACATTTTAATATAGGTGAAAATAATCAAATATATAAAAATCAGTATGGAAGTGAAAGTACATCTTGGTAAAAGAACTAAAACCCAAAAACAACTTTCCTTTATAAATTACATAGTACTTTAAGTACTATCTAGAAATAGTTTGCAAATTTCCTAAAAGTTAAAACCATTAACATAAATATACCATTTTAAAAAAAATTTTGACACAGGGTCTCACTGTGTTGACCACACTGGTCTCAAACTTGTGGGCTCATATGATCTTCCCAGTTCAACCTCCCTAGGACTAGAGGCACACACCTCCATACCCATCTTACTAAAATAACTTAACAAGAATAGCTTACATCCTAATTTATGACGCTCTTGTCCTGAAGACAGGTATATCAGATAAGTAAAATTTTCAAATAGGATAATTCACGCAAATACAAATGTGCTTAACAAAACAGCTAGCAGATAACTGGATACACAAATAAACATTTATGAAATATCAATGTTCTTCCAATTTCTCTTTAAGATTCTGAGCCCGAGTATGGTACACACTTCTATAAATGTGTCTGTCAAAGTGTAGTTTATACAATAAGAAAAGAAAAAGAGATGCAAGTGGTAAGCAGAAAGGGTTCTCTGAGGAAAATGCAATTAAATCTGAACTTACACAGGATTACACAAGGCAAACCTTATACATCTTACACAGAATTCCAGGGCTACTTACACCAATCACTCCTTCAGTGTGATAAATCTGACCAATATTAAGAAAATATCGAGGCAGGCATGGTGGCGCATGCCTGTAATCCCAGCACTTGGAAGGCTGAGGCAGAGGATCACTGTGAGTTCAAGACCAGCCTGGACTACAGAGAGAGTTCCAGGTCAGTCTCAACTACATAGTGAGACCCTGTCTCAAAACAACAACAACAACAAGAAAAACCAAAACAATCTAAAATACTGTAAGAAAAAAAATGGCCTGACAGCTGTCATCTTGACCTCATTATGAAAATGCCACCTTACCAAATAATGGAAGGGACAAAGAAAGGGAATCTGCAGGGGGTGGCAAGGTTAGTCATCAGTAAGGTAGAGAACAAAGGGAGGACAGGCCCCAAGATGGCAAACCTTTTAGAGCTTCCAATGATAAACAGCTGCTTGCAGCTCGTGTACCATAGGTTGACCACCCACAGAAACTAACCCAAGTCTGAGTAAGGGGACTTAGGAAAGGACCTGGTCAATTAAGACCTAATCCACTGTAACTAAAACTAAAGATTTCTATTTGCCTGACTTTCTAATGTTTACTTTCACTGCTGAGGGGGTCTTTCCATTCATTTCTTGTGTGGCATAATGGTAAAGAACACAGGCTTTCAAACTCTTTTAAAACATGTATTTTTTTAATAGCCTTCCTATACACAAATAACAAACTCACTGAGAGAGAAATGAGAGAAACAATCCCTTCCACAATAGCATCCAACAAATAAAATATCTAGGAATCAATCTAAGGAAAGAAGTAAAAGACCTATATATTGAAAACTATAGTACTCTGAAAAAAGAAATTGAAGAAGATATCAGAAAATGGAAAGATACTTGGATAGGAATAAGCAATATAGTGAAAATGGCCCTATTTCCAAAATTGTTTTACAGATTTAAAACAATCCCAAGCAAAATTCCAACAGCATCTCTCACAGAAGTAGAAAAAAAAAATCCTAAAATTCATTTGGAACCAGAAGAGACCTAAAAGAGCAAAGGCAAATGAAGGATAAACTTGAGTCATTTGTTGGGAAATGGATGTACCTTGAGACCATAATGTTAAGTGAAATAAATCAGACACACAGCTTAAAATTTGAATGGTTTTTTTTTTTTATATGAGAAAGCCAAATTATAAATAAAGCGCAAAATCAAAGATTAAAATAAAATAGCAAAGGCAATTCTGGCCAACAAACACCAGGCAGGGGATATGACAATCTCTGACTTTAAATTGTATAAATTGTACTATAAAGCCAAGATGATTTAAAAAACAAAACAAAACATGATATTGGCAAATGGAACAGAGTAGAAAACACAGAAACAACTCCAGACATACTCAGCCACCTAATCTTTGACAAAGGAGCCAGCCACCTTCATTGGAAGAAAGACAGCCTCTTTAATAAATGGTGCTGTAAAAACTGGCTTTCTACATGCCAGAGATTAAAATTACACCCATATTTCTCACTATGCACTAAACTAAAATAGAAATGAATGAAAGATTTAAATATTAAAGCAGAAACACTAAATGTGCTGAAAGATAGAATAGGTGAGAAATCTCGAAGACACTGGTGTAGGCAAAGACTTTAAGAACAAACCCTGATCATACAGGAAATACCACAAAGAATCAACAACTGGGATCTAATCTTATTAAAAAGCACTTGCACAGAGAAAGAAACCACCAGCAAAGTGAAGAGAAAACCCACGGTGTGGGAAAAATTTTTTTCCAGCTGTTTCTCAGGCAAAGGGCTAATATCTAGAATATATAAAGAACTCAAAAAAAATCACACGCTCCCAAATTTAAAGACTCAATCCAAAAATGAGCATCTGAAATGAAAAGTCATTTCTCAGATAAAGAAGTAGAAACAGCAAATAAGAATGTGAAAGAACGTTCAACAGCACTGTTCATTCATGAAACAAATTAAAGGAAGGTTAAGCCAGTAATCCCAGAACTCAGAAGGCTGAGGCAGGAGAATCTCTGTGAGTGAGAGACCAGCCTGGGCTACAGAATGAGTTCCAGGTCAGTCTCAACTGCATAGTGAGACCCTGTCTCAAAAACAAACAAACAAAACAAGGCTAAGACTTCATCTCACTTTAGAAAGAACGGCTATTATCAAGAAATCAACCAATAACAAATACTGGCAGGGATGTGGGGAAAAAGGAACCCTTCTTCACTGTTGGTGGGAATGTAGACTGGTGATTTCCACACTAGGGAAATCTGTGAGGCAATTTCTCAAAAAACTAAAAGATTCTTCAACCCAGCTATTCTTCTTGGTATCTTCCTGAAAGAACTAAAAGCATCACACCACAGTGATTTATGTGCACCATGTTTATAGCAGCACAGTTGGCAATAGCTAAATCTTGGAAACAACCCAGATGCCCATCAACCTATGAACTGATAAGAAAATGTGATTTTTTTTTTCTTTTTTTGTACCAGGGATTGAACTCTGGACCTTGTGCTTTTGAGGCAGGGGTGGAACCACTGAGCTAAATCCCTAGCCCAAAGATGTGCTTATTTTTTATACAATGGAGTACTGCTCTGCTATAAATAACAGACATTTACAGCTAAATGGATGCAACCTGAGGCCATACTCTTAAGTGAAATAAATTGGACACACGTTTAAATACACTGTTTCTCTGGTGTGAGAAACTGAAAATGAAAATAAGGACTAAAATGTATAACAGATACATAACAGGAAATGGAAATGTTCAAATGGGAAGAACAAGGGAGGAGGGAGGGAGAAAGGAAGGTGGGGACAAGAAAAACAGTGAAAATGGGAAAAAATGGAAACAAAGCTTTTGTACATTGGGGTGGGATAATATAAAATAAACATTTTTTAAAACATGATTTTTTTAACACAAATTCTGTCGGTGCCTATTTGACCTATACGAACGTATTTTGGCCTTAGTTTTCTCATCTGTAAATCTGGAATAACAGTTCAGAATTATCAAGAGAATTACATGAGTTAACATCTGTCATTTGCTTAATATAGTTCCTAACAATAGCTGCCCAAGGACAGAAGGTTCAATGATGTCAATGGTGTGACGAACAGGAGCCACAGGAAGAGGGAACTGAAGGCCAGGAGTCAAAAGGGGTCATTCTTTCTAACCTACATTACACAGGGAATCATGGCTCAGCCATACACCGAACTTGTGTTAGCACAGATTTCAGACTCCAAAGCCATGCCTATCATCACTATACCATCTTTCTTAATAAATAAAATATTTTTAGCAAAGCCCAAATAAATTTTTACTTGAAATCCTGTGATATCACACAGGGTGCCATTATTTTAACTGAGTAATTTAAAAGCTTGAGGGGGATCCCTTTACTAGGTCCTGTAAAACAAAAAATGATTTTTCGGAGAGTTCCATTTTAGCATGTTGTTTACTGTTAAACATGGCAGGAGATGAATGTGGTGTGTGACAACTGTTTTCTAGAAAGAATTTGCCAATGTAGTAGCAGTTAGAAGAGTTTTTATTATAATTAAAGTCAAAAAAGTTATTATAAACATTTGAAAATTTAAAAAGACTAGTCTTAGAACAACTAAGACATCCTTTTTATTTTTAATAAAAATTGCTTTATACAGGCAAATTTTAAAAGTTAAAAAACAACTTGCAAATAATTTGCAGTGAGGCTTCCTTAATTTTAATAACGATTAATTATTATTGACAACAGCCCTCAGCTTTACCATTTAAACTAGTTATCTAACCTCTAAAATTCAATTTGAATACTGAAAGTAAATAGAACTTTCAAAGACTTCTGCTAAAATTAAAGTAACATCTACAAAGATATATGAAGCATTTTTTTAATTTTTAATCTAGCACTAAAGAAATCTTTAAATAATGTTTGTCATTTAAAAAATAAATACAGTTCTATCCCACACCAAAAAAAAAAGGAAAATAAAAAATAAATACAAGTAGCTTTGCAGTAAAAAACATATTCTATACTTTTTAGTGATGAACAGAGCATTTTAAATCACTTTAATAAATAATACTCTTAGAAAGTAATAAAAATAACTCCTCAAGGCATTTTTTGAGACACTGATCTAAAAGCATGTAACACTTAAATTTTTTAAGCAAAATTTAAAAATTAGTCATAAATAAGGCTAAATGTTAAGAGTGGTACAAAAATTTAAAAGCATTTTTTTATTATAGAACAATCATTAGGGAAAAAACTAAAATGGCTACTTAATTAAATTATTTTCTTTCTTTCTTTCTTTCTTTTGAGACAGGGTTTTGCTATGCAGTTTAGGCTTTTCTTGAATTCACTATGTAGCCCAGGATGGCCTTGAACTCATGGCAACCCTCCTGCCTCAGCCTCCCACACACTAGGATTACAAGAATGCACCACCATGCCTAGCTTACTTAACAAAATGTAATGTATACTATCTTAAATACTAAAAAATATTTATACATGGTAATTGGAAATCTGTATAACAAATATGCTTATCTTTGAATTTCTTTTAACTTTTAATTTTTCAGATTCTAAATAAAAAATAAACAAAAGGTTTTCTTTATATCTAATTGTGTATTTGTCATGTTTGCAGTTACCGATGTTTATACTTATTTTATCTATATAACCTGAGCATTTTATCTCCCATTCCTCATCCAAATAAGATCACAAAAATCTCAGGTAGGTAGAGATTTCACAATATTATATACTACATACAATTTTTAAGTCCAAAATTAATGCTAGCCAAATAAGTCAGTCCTGACAGGAAGACCCAAGAATAAAACAAATTTAAGTAACAAAAAAGTAAAAGCACTGTTTGAGTTTGTAAGATGTTTACCAAAAACAAGTTTTTGATGCCTCCTCATAGAAGCTACTCAAACTCCTTCATGCTACATTCCTAATCAGAGGCCAAAAGGAAAGAGAACCCTAAACCAAGGTCATGGCCCAAGGACTGCTGTCTTAGGAGAGTTGGGTCCTTGCTTAGCTTCTCAGGTCATTTAATAACTCTTATAGTTTTAGAACATTTCATTTCTTTTTCTCCAGAAGCCATAAACAAATACTTCTATCTAAAGCTGAATAAGATAAACAGTTTTTCACAAAGAATGGTGTTGCCATTTTGATATTTTCAACCAAGAATTCACTTATATGCAATTATAACATCCTTCTATATCTTTGCTTTATAAATACACTTTATCAGTGTATGAGAATATTATACTTCGGTAGTTTTATTTGAATATTATGAAAGTAAACCCTAATCTTTCTATTCAAATTACACTGTACCTTGTAAAGTAGAGTGAATAGCACAATGTGTAAAGTTTTACAGTGCAAAAGTCTCATGAGACCTTTATAGCTAGGATGAAGTGATGTCCTTTTCTTATAAGGAGGCCAGGGATTTCCAGGGAATTTTCCACTCTGTTTTAAACTGTAAAAATAAAATAAAACTAAAATTAGATTACAGACTCAAAATTAAACTGTAATTTAAATAGTGATTTATAGACATCAATTTCTAATTTTCCTACGCAGTTGCTTAAAAATACCAGATATCTATCCTCCACAAATAAACATAACCATTCCCTTTTTCACAGCATAAAAATGAATAGAAAGAGCCAAGTTATATTCATAGTTGTTATTCTTATTTTGTTATGAAATTATGTTATTTTTCATAAATGAACAATTATTTTTAAAAAGACTTAAGCTAAAAACAGGAAAGCAATATGAAAGTAAAGTTGCTAAAAATAGGATAGGCACAGTGGCATGTGTTTGTACTCCTGGCTCTTCAAGAGGCTTGAGACAGGAGGATCACTTGAGCCCAGGATTCAAGAACAGTCTGGGCAACATAGTAAGACTTCTGAATAAAAAACAACAACAAAAAACCAGAAAGTTAACAGATAAAAGTGAACAACAACACAAAATAAACTACTCAGCAAGAACATTTCCTATTCCAACAATACAGCAAAATAGATGACTTGAAAATTCTCCTACCACCAAAATATAAACTTTAGTGATCTTTTTTTTTTTTTTTTTTTTTTTTTTTTTTTTCCTAGTACCTGGGATTGAGCTCAAGACCTTGCACTTACCAGGCAGGTGTGGCGCCATTGAGCTACGTCCCCAGCCCATCTTTTGAATACATATTTGAACTCACCAAAAAAGTGAGTTTTCTATCAGAAAAAAATGAATTAATAATAAACTGTAACATTGTGCCAATGGTCTCAATGTCCTTAAACACGAACAGCACAAGTTGTTGGGCTCAAAAAGGCTCAGACAAAGAACTGAGATCCCTCCACACACATACACCAGAGCTGAGACCTTTGAAAGTGTTTGACATCAATGAGGAAGACAACTCACAAGCAGAAATAAGAAATCTGTCTGTCTCTTTTGGGATGGAAGAACAACAGACTCCTCATGAAGATAATAATTACAAATTGGTAGGTGAACAACAGCAGACTCAAACATAAAAGGCAAAATTTGAGAGAATTACAAGGACAAACTGACAAACCCATAACTGTTATAAAGGATATTAATATACTTCTGTCTGAGAGTCCAAAAAGTAAAAATTTCAGAAGTAAAAATTCAAAAGTAAAACAAAAATTTTTTTTTGTTTTGTTTTGTTTTTTGAGACAGGGTCTCACTATGTAGTTGAGACTGACCTGGAACTCACTATGTAGCCCAGGCTGGTCTAGAACTCACAGCGATCCTCCAGCCTCAGCCCCCCGAGTGCTGGGATTACAGGCATGTGTCACCATGCCTGGCTTTCAAAGGTAAAATTTTAATTTTAACATTAGTGTTTCAAAGAGTACTTTCAAGAAGGTCAAAAGCCCAACCCCAGAATGGTAGAAAATATTTCCAAATAATTTATCTGGTAAGTCTAGTGTCCAGAATACACAAAAAGGCCTAAGACTCAATAATAAAAGTCCAATTTAAAAATGGGCAAAGAAACCAACAGCACCTGGTACCTGACTAACTACAGCTGGAGAGAACTGGGTGAAAACTACCACCACACCACTGCAATAGGATTTTGCCTGAAGAGCTCACAACACTAAGCACAGGTTAAGAGTATGAGAATGAGAGGTTAAAATCATGGTATGCATGTTTGATTCTGAATGCCATGGTCTTGTCTCCCACTCAGTTCAAAGCATAATGACAGGAAGACCCTTAATTTCTGGGAATTATTTGAAGACACTTCTCTGAGAAATCAGAACAGAACAAAAAGAGCAAGAGATGAACTGAAAGCTTCTCAAGAAACCTGCTTTCCTAAAGCACCCTATATTAAATTCAACATCTAAAATCTTCACCAGCATAATCAGAGCTCTTAATAACAAAAAGCCAGAATTAACAGACATCTGAGGAATGACTCTCAGATGAAAACTAGAAACCAAATAATAAATATCTTAAAGAAAAGAGGTACTATATAGGCAGGGCAGAGGTCTTACAATTTTTTAAAAAAAAACTATCACCAGGCATGGTAGCATATGCCTGTAATTCCAGCTACGCTAAACACTAAGGCAGGAGGAGAGGAAGTTCAAAGCTAGCAAAATAGCATGACTACATCTCAAAAAAGTGTGGTGGCACACACTTGTAATGCCAGAATTCTGGGAGACTGAGGCAGGGCAATCACAAGTTCAAACCCAGCCTGAGTGACTCAGCAACTTATCGAGAGCCTGGGTTCAATCAGAAAAAGAGAGAGAGAGCAAGAGAGCAAGAGAGAATATTGGGGGAAAAAAAAACACTAACTACTGTTAACATACCAGAGAAGTGAACTGCATCTATTATTCATAAAATGAATATCATAAAATTAACTTTGTATCTTAAAAAAAAATACCTGTCCCCTATACAATACTACAGTGGTAGATACAGATACAGATATATTGTTCAAATTAATCCCAATTTTCGGTTTTTGTTTGTTTCCTTTAAGCACTAGTCCCTAAATACTCAAAACCTAGATTAATAAAGCATTACAAAATAAAAGTTATATATTTGTTCAAGACAGCAGGTAATATATCAGAAGAATTTTCAAAAGAATTAATGGAATTATCTAAATGAAATGCTACGAGACAGCATAAAGAAAAAAATTTGTGATTCAAACTAACATCTAATAATTACTGACCAGCTAGAGACAAAACTGAAAAAGTTGTATATCATACTTTCAAACATGGGGTAGCAATCATTAACTTTCAAGATGAGCAAGCAACAGAAATTATAATATTAAAAACATTTACTTTGCATTTGAATATAAACAGCTACTATATAAAATCACCTGTTTTTTTGAAAGGCCTAGCAACCATAGTTCTAGCAAGGCCATTAACAAGCATATTTAGATGAGCTTCTCTGGGCCACAGTGTCTTCATATATAAAAATATAACAACGACTGGGTAGTTTTCCAATTGTTGGTTTTCTTTTGTTATTGTTGTTGGTTGTTTTCTTTTTAAGAGCTGAGCTATTCATTAAAGGGTATCTGGGGCTTTTGCCCCACTCCCTCTCCCAGTGCTGGCCCATGAGACACTACAGTGGAACACGCACTAATTTCCAGCAATAAGACCATAAGATTCTTAACACCTAACATCACATAAAGCAAATGGCTTATTTTCAATCAAAATTAAAAGAACTTGTTTTTCATGCATGTAACAAACATTTACTGACTGCCTACAAAGTGCCTCACACTAAGTAACAGATTCTGAGGATGCAATCCTATTAATTTATCAACCATTTTTTGCTATTATTCTTCAAAAGTCCTATTATCTTCCTGCGAATATGAACAGACCTAAGTAAAATCAGTTAACCAACGTTTTGTCCCTTAAAACCAAAAGATGAACAAAATGACCAATAGTCAGTAAGTCCTATAGTTTAGGTAATCATCCAAAATAGTAGAGGTAATCTACTATTCTAATACAAATTGGAACAAATATAAAATAAAACATGTCATAAAGGACACAGATGCTATATTTCACTTAAACTGAATTTCAAAAATTTCAAATTTTACATAGAAATAAAAACATTTCTTCATAGCAATTAAATACAGAAAATGTTTTGGGTTTTGTTTTTTGTTGTTGTTTGTTTTGGTTTGGGGTTTGTTTTGCTATGTAGTTCAGGCTGGCCTTGAACTCACTATGTAGCCCAGGTTAGCCTTGAACTGACTGCAATCCCCTGCCTCAGCCTCCCCAGCACTGGGACTACAGGCATACGCCAGGATACCAAGCCCCACAAAAAGTTATCAGATGAAAACAATGGCTTTCATCTTGAATTTCAAAGATTAATTTACAAGAAAGTAAAGGATTTTAGAGTAAATTTAAAAGTAAATCTAATATTACTGCTTTTACTACAGATTTCTTTTAAAATATAGTTTTTCAACTGCTAAAAAACATATAGCACTTCAGAAATATTTCAAAGAAAATTTTTTAAATTGTACAGGTATTCAGGGCTGGGATTTAGCTCAGTGGTCCTGCCACCTGCCTTGCAAGCACAAGGACCCAAGTTCAATCCCCAGTACCAAAAAAAAAAAAAGTACAGGAAATCAAAAGCCAAGTTGAAGAAAATAAGAGAATAAGGAAAAACCGCAAAATAGAAAATCATAAAAAATTGATAAAAGTAGTTTTAGGAATATGGTTATCTATGTGAAGTAACTACAAATCAAAATATGATACAGATATAAACAAGAACACAAAATAGATTAGGAAACTCAGGATTCCTCAAAAAAGAAGTATATCTATATCACATATATATCTAAACCAGATGTATCAACATTGGCACAAGTGACATTTGAGGTAAGATAATTCTTGGTGGTGGGAGACAGACCTAGACAGTACTAGATGTCAGAAGCAACCCTACCAGTCTTCAGGCACTGGGAGACAAAAATCATCCAGAGCTAAGAAGCACTATTCTAAAAAGGAAATAAACTGCTCAGAAGTAAGTGAAAAGTTTGCTAAGTGAAAAATAAAAGACACAACTCTCTTTTTCTTTCAGATTTACATGGCATATAACAAGCACCTAATAAATGTTAATAAAATTTCCCCTTTAAAATTTTTTTTTCCCTCTTCACTTGGGATTGAACTCAGGACCCTAGGCTTGCCAGGCCAGCAGGGTGCCACTGAGGTACATCCCCAGCTAAAATGGTTTACTTGTAATGACACCTTCAAAGCTTTGACTGTCTCCACCTAATTCCAGTCTACACTGCTATCAGTTACAAAAATAAAAGACAATATTAAATTCACTACACATTTAATTCTTTTTTTCCCCTTCCAGTACCAGGGATCAAACTCAGGACCTTGCGCTTTCAAGGCAGGCAGAGGCGCCACTGAGCTAAATTCCCAGCCTATATTTAATTCTTATATATTCAAAATGACTGCCAGGGATTTAGTTCAGTGGCACCACAGCCTGCCTCGGAAGCACAATGTCCTGAGTTTGATCCCTGGTACCAAAAAAACAAAAAATAAACAATAAAAAAAATGACTAACAACTAGTAACTACTACCACCACTCTGAAAAAGGGCAGAGCAACTTTAGACAATAGGAAGTTCATGTAGGACTTCCATGCAAATACTTCCTCTCACCCATTTTTAATTTCTCAATGAACTATTAAAATTTCCTCATTCAACAAATATATTCTGAACAACTACTATGTGCCAGTGCTGAAACAAGTACTGAAGATGGGTCTTCCCTCAAGGAGTTAGGTGTAGGAAAAGCCTAAGAGGAAAGAAAATATTACAAACATACAAGAAAAGCATAAAAAGAGGTAACTATAAAAACAGAGAAGAGAGAACCTCAGATTATCTTCCCTCAAGGTTTTAGAAGAGAGAGGATGCTAAACCTGATATCTATAATTATACTTTGTTTTTCTCAAAATCAAAGATATTTGCATAATTTAAAACTCGTCTTTGCAAATTTTAACAAACTTTGAAAAAGCACAAATAAGCTGGACACTGTAGTAGATGCTGTACTCCCAGTACTAGCTGAGCCTAACACAAGAGGATTACAAGTTCAAGCCTGTAAGACTTAGTGAGATCCTGTCTCAAAATTTTAAAGGGGGATAGTGAAAACCCTGAGTTCAATCCCCAGTATTACAAAAAGAAAAAGAAAAAAGAAAAGGTGTTAATCTTCAGCAATATAATATTTACCATGGTTTAAAAAAGAGATAGAGGGCGAGGGATTTAGCTCAGTGGTTCAGTAGCCTGCCTTGCAAGCGCAAGGACCCGAGTTCAATCCCCAGTACCAAAAAAAAAAAAAAAAAAAAAAAAAAAGAGATGGAAATAATACATTAAAAATAGCCGTTGGGCCCTGGATTTAGCTCAGTGGCGCCTGCCTCGCAAGCACAAGGTACTGTGTTCAATCCCCAGAACAGCAACAACAACAACAAAAATAGTTCACAATTTACAAAAAGTGTAAAATCAAATTCTTCATTATAGCTATCATTCAAAACTTATTTTCAGACATCATCAACATTTTAAGCTTTTTTTACAAATAAAACATGCAAGTAGAATTCATTTTGTTTTGGCTATTCTCTTGTTAACCAATACTTTCACACTTTTTATATATGCCAATCTCTTATGTCATACAATTTTATTTTCTTATTTGTGCCTCCTCTACTGGCTGTAAAGTAGAACAATACAAAATTAAGTCTCAAATTATCTTGATCAGTCATCAAATTTCTGTATTTTGATTCAGAAATCATGTTCTACACAATTTGCAACAAATTCTGTATAAAGATATTAAGAAGATAAATTTCAGCTACATTGACTTTGAAAACCTTAAAATAGTATTTTCTCCTCTAGGATTGAGAGTATACTTTAATGAAAACATATCATATATATGAGAATTGAAATTGTTCTATACAAACACAAAACATTTCATTATGCTACTAATCAGTTTAATGGACTTACAATGCTGTGTATCTGTCCATTGCAGATTGCACATCTCTACGGTAAACTGTTCGAAGAATGACCATGACCGGGTCAAATTCCTGATCCCAGACTTCAGCTATTATCCAAACAAAGTAGAAACAGAACACGGACTTCTTAGGAAGAAAGTCAATCTGTATCAATGACTTAATTTTGTACATTTTAAAATTCAAAAAATGGAATAGTGCAATTTTATATTTGCCTTAGTAAGCCTGATGGAGCAACTACTTTTCTAAGTCAAATATCACAATTTCAGCACTATAAAAGGCCCCGAGTTTCACAAGCAGAAGTGAGTATATGTATATATATATATATA